GCCGACTGGCATGGCCGACTGGCATGGCCGACTGGCATGGCCGACTGGCATGGCCGACTGGCATGGCCGACTGGCATGGCCGACTGGCATGGCCGACTGGCATGGCCGACTGGCATGGCCGACTGGCATGGCCGACTGGTATGGCCGACTGGGATGGCCGACTTGATGTAGGTAACGTAAGAGATACCAATGACTTTGACGGATATAAATCATTAAAACAAAGAATGATGAAAACATTTCGGTCTCTTTTTTTGAGACAAAACTCATAACTGTTCTGCCAATAGTTTTTCAGTACTTCCTCTTGATGCTGTTCATACATTTCCAGATCCTTCACATGTTCTCAAATTCGTCACACAAGTACGCAGCGTGGACCTATTTTTGATAACTGGAAAACATGTCAAACACTTACTTCCATAACCTTTGTTACACGCATAGATAACCCAAGCTAGGGCCAGACCCCACACAAAGCGACTGAAGGTGCCATAAATGATATTCTTAGCCCTGGTGAAAGGCCGGCCGTCTTCTTTGTAATATGTATACACACCATATACAACTGAAACACCCAGTGCAATGCTGAGAAACCATCCGACAAGGCACTCTACCCGCCTTGGTAACTTGCTCTGAAAGACATAACAAAACAACGTTCGCAAATTTGAAAGCAGCAGATGAGTTCTTTTCTAATTCTTCGGGATCTTAGATTTGGAATATTTTCCAACTGAGTGTCGAAAGTAATCCGTGATTGCTTTAGTTTTGGCTCATTTCGCTGCGATTGGTCCAGAAAATTCATGTCACTTTCTCAACCAATCAGATCCAAAATGAAAACCAATGGCGCATTTTCCCGCGCTTCAAGGCATCTACTTGGTTAACCGATTACTTCGGTTTTGGTTCAACGCCAGTCAACCCAAATGCGCTCTATATGGTTCCGATAAATATAAAAGGGAGATTCAGTCTTTTTTCAGGTTTTTGTTACAGCTACTTTGCTAGGATTGTTCCTTACAGTTTCTGCGTTTTCATCTTCAATGCTATTTCAGGGCCGTAGCTAGCATGAGGCAAGACACGAGGCCATTGCCTTTTCTTGAGTTTGGCTTTTTCTTTTTTTTGGGACCAGTATCGCTCAGCAATAAGAAAGTGAACTTCTACACTTACCCAAAATTGACTTATCTGAAGAAAAATGCCACAGAAAATGCTTAAAAGCGTGTTTTTGAGCAACCAGATTTCAAATTTTTCTGGGGGGGGGGCCGAAACTTGCTTCGTCTTGTTCTGAAGTCTGGCTACGGCCCTGTATTTCCTTCTCGACCCCGGCTACTTACCAACGGGTTTTTGCCCGGAGTCTTTTTATCAACATGAATCAAGTATCCCAGAGCAATCCCCACGAGGTACGGTGCAATCCGGCAATACGGCTTAATATAAACAAGGTCAGAATAGCTACCTCTGCCTTGTTTCTGTTTAAACCTAATAAGAATACCGTAACACATTTGTTAGACCGCTGAAAGCGAAACTATAGAAGTTATTCGGTACTTACAGTCACGCTGCGACGACGAGAACTGAGCCTTTTTTAATTATAAGGGACGTAACACGAGGGCGTGTGCGTGAGAACGTGGGTAACCCCTACGGTTATATTTCTGCCACGAAAATTACAGAATCCGGCCTCGTCAGGGACGGAACAGGACGTTAAATTTTGCGACTCAATCAAATTTTTGAATGGAGTCGCTTCTTAACACTTCGTGCCGAGTCATTTTTACGAATTTTCAACAACATTTGTACCATCAAAGGTTCTGTTAGGAAATTTAAGTTATTACTGAACAAACTTTCATGTTTTCCTGAGGTTTTTACCCATCAAACTTGTACCAAAACGAATGTGCTTATCAGTGATTGCCTTACCCTTGTTGAATTTCACCAGATTCAAGTACATCCGTGTTATAAACTCCAATAATCACAGCAGTGACAACCAAACTTGCTAACAGTAGAGTGCCCACGCCTGTGAGGAGCCCTCGGAACTGGAATCTGACGACGTGATTAGAAATATTACAAGATACAAGGCACACACCGAAAATACCAAATATTGAAGGAAGGAAAAGAGGGAAACAAAGGAAGGAGAGTTAAACTGAAAAGGGAGAACTTGAAGAAAAATAGAATGAATTGAACGAATGAATGACAATGAATAAATGAAATAACACGGAATGTTCGTAGGAAATATTTTGATTCGACCAAATCAGGTCAAACTTTCGAATCCAGCAGAAGGAAACAAAAGAAGCTGGTCGCAGTATCTAAGCAACTCCGACTGTTTTTTTTTCTTTTTGCGAATTCGTCACAAATGACTCAGCTGCCTAAATGACTCTCTTTCTAACTGACTTGATGAATGACCCCATCGCACAGAATGAGACATCATCCGGGACTTTCGTGCGTGACCTGCGCTAAATTTGAATCGACCAAGCATTTCTGGCGGCCAGACAATAAAGAAATGATAGCTCTGACGAAGGGCTAACGCTCGAAACGTCAGCTTTTTTATTCGTTACGGTGGTCAATTTACTATTTCAACTTAGTTGATATAACCAATTACCTTGTTACCCCCACCGACGTAGCAACATAGTTTCTTTAGAAACTCTCAGCCTTAATAAAGAAAATGGCCTGACAATGGCTAACAGCGCGCACGTTTCGTAAGCTTGTGAATTAAATACTTTCGCTTTTGAAAAGTTAGCATATGGGTTTTGTAGAGTAAACACAGATCTTGTGATGAAGACCTTTTCTGAGTTTTTGAACCAAGAGGAACAGGTCGCAATTTTTTTTTAAAGTTAACGTTTTCCTTAGTTTCTATTGTCTTCAAAAGTACCATGGAAATGTTAAAAGCTGGAATTTTTGCTCTTCAAAGTGAACCACCGACCGACCGCATGTATTAATGGATGAATTAATGGATGGACAAGGGAGTATATTTGACGAATGCAAATTCCATGGATGGAATGTTACGTTGTTTTGAATTAATGTATGGTATTATGAAGTTTGTATGGTAAATGATGTTAGTACTGGAAGTTATGTTACTGTTCTAAATAGTGCCGTGTTGTATTCAAATAAACGGCTAAACAATATCAAAACACACAATATAAACTGCATCTGCACTTTCAAAATGAAAAAAAATCTACATAGATTGAAATGGAATTTACCTGTAGATGATGTAGATTAAAATTGGACTTATCACATAAAACTGCATGTCGTTAGCAAGGTACCACGACCAACCCAGACACTGTGGAACGAAATAAACAGTCAAATACTGCTTAGAGACATCTCAACAACCAAAACTGCCGAGATGCAACGAGTGCATCTAAATGAATCAAAGAGCCTTGCTTTGTTTGAAATTTATTTTTACCAAAATGACAAAAAGTTCTACATTTTCATGCAATATCGAGGTTAAAGCTTTAAGAGTGGCAGTTTTAAGTTCTCTCTTCCAACGAATTCCATTAGAATGTTGATGGAACTCTGGTTGACTAGTGCAAGTGGTTAAACTCAGTACGGGAGTAGGTAAGCTAGCTGGACTCTCAAGTCATCAGCATGGATACAAGCTCTGGGCAGTTTACTGCGTCACGTTGTTGGGCAAGAAACTCAACTCTTACTGCGTCCCTCCCTGCCTACAGAGGAGTGTAAATGACCACCAATTACCTATCTAAAAAACTTGACAAAAATGCATAGGGGTAACATACAAGGAACTGGCATACCAACAAGGTGGAGTAAACATGCTACTTGCGGCTTCATGTGGGCATCGACATTTAAAAAACCTTATGCTTTTCAAGACTAAGTAACTAAGTTTTAAATTCACCAGGTCAAAGAGCTAGAGTTCATAATTTCCAAACTTTTCATAATATGATTTTATTCTTACATTTTATTTGCAATTAATTTAACACCCGGACAAAGTATGACAACAAAACACTCCTACCCACCTCCTTAAGTAAGGAATTAGGATGGAAATTGTTGATGTACAAAAGATTTGTCCACCAGTAATCATGACACGGTGTTTCCTTTTGGCTACCATACCATAACGGTCCCTCGCCAAGAAATGGAGTAAGATTGGCATAAAACAAAATGACAAACATGTAAGCTGGGGTTAACCTGCAATGTAGAAGCAATTTGTTGGGAGTAATTTAGTCTTAAATTTCAGTAAAGTAGCCCGATTTGACGTGTTACCATTTTTCTTAGGTATGGGGCTCCCCTGATGTGCTTCGTGCACACACTAAGTGAAAGTTGTGCGTTCACTGATACAGTAATTGATCAAATGGTTAGTTTTAGTGAAAAGGAGACATTGAGAAAATCCCAGAAATCGATAAGGCAATTAAAACTATCTATTCGCTCAAACGAAGGGCTAACGCTCGAAACGTCAGCTTTTGTAATCGTAACGGTGGCCAATTTACCATTTCAACTTTGTTGATATATCCAAATTAAAACTATCTACTGTCGATGATAAAAAAAAAAGGAAAGTGTGAGCATTGATCAAACTACGGTGAGGTTCCAGCATGAACCATTTAAGCTGTTCAGCCGTCCATTCGATTGTTCTCTTTTGTTCAACGCTTTCCTGAATTCGTCGAACACTTCTGTCCCACGTGCTTCATACATATTAGCCTGTTTTCTTTCCGTTGTCCACGTTCATGCTGTCAAACTTATCGGGGCTTTACTAAAAGGACAACGAACGCAGTTGACACGAACGTCTGAAACCTTCCGTGTTCATTACATGAAACGTCGCGCCGGAGAATTCTTTTGTTTTTCCTAATCGAACTTTCGATCAAAGGCCAGTGATAAGACGCTTTCTTTAACGCTAACTTCCTTCGGTGACGGAAATTCGAAGTAGCGCTCTTTGTTCTGATTGAAGATGCGAGTCTTTGCACCTACAACGAATATTTACATTACCTCCAAAATCGGTGAAAGTAAAATTGAAATAATGGTAATCTCCCGTCATTCTTGTCCAAGCGGCGAAAGGAAAGGTAAGCCACGAGCAAACCACTGCAAAAAGAACAAATTTAACACTTTAGATCTCTCTGAAAAGAAGATGTGGGCCCTCACATAATTTTCCCCAAATCATGCCAAAATAAGATCTTTATTTTGCAATACAACATTTTTTTCCAATTGAATATTAATGTAATTAAAAATGGAAACAAGTAGTGTAAAAATGAGTGAGGCTGGACAGATATGATTAAACAGGATCAATACTATACATTTGGTGCTGCAGCGATAATCGTTCTTGAGAAAGGGTGAAGGCGAGGAACAGGGAAACATCCGCTTTAGATCACGTTGGTGGTTGTAATAATTTTTCCAAAATTAATGTGATCACAAACGGAAACAAGTAGGTGTGGACATGAGCAAGGCTGTACAAGAGTGATTAAACAGGACCTATACTTAACATCCTCTGTTACAGTGATACTCGTTTTTGAAAAAAGGTTGAAAGGGAGGGGTAAAACTAGTTCCAAGTCTACGCAGACAAGAAGAACATTCTTTCAAATGGAGTGGGAGATTCGAATCCAAAGAAAATTAAAGTAAACCTGAAAGCCACATCCTTTCCACAAAAATTTGGAATGGAAAGCTTGGCGGTTGTAACGCCGTACACAAATGCATCAGCAAAATCAAACAATCATATATTTGTTTTACAAAGAAGTAAGTTTACCCATTCACTCGATTGCTAGAAATCGGAGAAACAACCCCCTTCGTGTATGTTTCTGCGTGACACTTGTAGAGTAATGTTGTATCTTTTCGTTCTTCCCAAAAAGGTGGCCTACTTGCAGACTTATTCCCAATGTGAGATTGACCCTTGTCAGATAGTTTCAGGCCCTGTTTACAAGCAGGTAGGGTAACCCTAGCACTAGAAGCTAGGGTAACCCTAGCCCTAGGGTTACCCTAACGCTCCCACATTTCTTCTTTTTTTCATCGACGTGTTTACAAAGCAGCTAGGATTACCCAAGCACTAGGGTAACCCTAGCTGAGCGCTAGGGTTACCCTAGCGCTAGGGTAACCCTAGCTTCCTTGTAAACGCTCTGCTGGGGATAACTCGCCTACCCGGGACAACTTTTTACTTGTTTCCAGACCCTTTGAACATTGATAACAATGCGTGCGGTTACTAAGCATAGTTAAGTTGTCCCGGGTGGTAGGGTAACCCTACCTGTGAAATTTTGCTTGTAAACCCGGGCTATCTTTGACCCGCCTGCTAGGGTAACCCTAGCACAGGGGTTACCCTCCTTGCTTGTAAACAAGGCCTCAATAACATCCAAGATTGAGGAAAATAGACATATGGTATTGTGGGCTGCTTCGTGAAAACTACCATCAGTACAAATTAGCAAACAACTGCAATATTCTACGGAGGCTTGTAAATGAACTGAAACTAAATTCTCATCGTGTAAAATGCGCTTCATCAAATCATAAAAGACATCTATTTATGACTTTACATGTCATGAGTGCTTGTGGACACTAAGGGAGAGACGTTATATTATCTTTTGTTATGGTATGGATAGGAAATTTGTAGGAAATTACTTACCTCAGAACGAAAAAGCTGTCAACAGAGAAGAAAGCATTATTCACAGCTTGGAAGGAAAACCTGCGAGAAATGTCTAATGCTAAGGCAAAATCATCTGCAAAACAATAAACAACAGATACATTGAAAATTGTTTCAAACTAGTTAGAATTACTTATTTTCACCACTGCTTAAGTAGCGTTCATCACTGCCAAGATCGCTTTCATACTCATTTCTTTAACCGCAGTTCACATGTATGATTTTCATATATTCACAAACGGTGAATCATCACCTCGCGGGTTTATTACGAACCAACAGCTCGGTAAAGCAATATAGAAAAGATGTTCTTTCATCCAGTCACAAGCGTGGGACAACGAAATAATTCTGAGTCCCCACACTTACTATCTTCTTTATTCTTTACAAAACATGACGCTTTCGACATTGCCGATTCTAGCAGTATGCAAGACGCGTGAATTTTTTTCTCTGTCCCTTGCTGATGACTAGACGAAAACACATCTCTACATTTCTTTACCGAGCTCAAAACTTACCATCTCTCTTATTCTTTACATATTTATATTTATTTTTTACCAAAATTATCTCTTAGCCACATACACTTCTCGGTATGGATCAATACCGACACCTTTTTCCTTGTTTTACTAACCGATACATTTTTGTGGGATTAATTAAGCTATTATCACTATCATTACCATTACCATTACAACTACCAGACAGTATACTTATCAAAATCATTTCTACTGAGAAAGTTGAAACTTGACTCACTGAGTGTTCTGTAAATTATAAGCCATAGATAGGTGTGGCCCATTATCACCCACCACATGCTAAGCACTCGTATTCCATTGATAGCTGAAATAGCACCAGCTGGCACAGAACAGTTCATTATCTTTGTAGTGTTCCGAATCATCGAGAAACAAACCAGGAAATTGACCACAAATCCTTTAAAAGACAGAAACACACATATGGCCAGTCAATAGTAAAGTTAAATCACACCTGAGCACCCTGAAACAGTTTTTTTCTTACTCAACCCTTTCACTACCCAAGATCTCATTAGCAATTCTTCCTACTGTCAGTCAAACAATTCTTATGATGTCATTTGGGAGAATTTGGTATTGGATCAACTAATAACCCCTGACCCCTAATTGATAATCTTTCTTTATTCTCATCACTTGTCTGCTTGATATTAAATCGATATTGTAAGGAGAAATTCTGACTTGGTCACTCAAGGGATTCAAAGGGTGAGAGAGCTACAATACAAGACAACACCTTTTTTTCCATCTCGCAACATTCTATTTGAGGGATTAGAAGCTACAAAAGAGCCACTACTGACATACCGGTAGTAAGTTTTTGTCTCAGAAGAAAGGTCTCCATCATTTAAGTTGATATCTGATATCATGTATGGTTGGCAAAGAAATGCAATTTTTTGTTGTTTTCAAAATGGCAGCATTCATATTTGGAAAGTGAACTGGAAGCCCATTGGAAGATGGATGATAATTGTCTGAAGTTTAAGTCACTCTTTGGAATTTCAAACCAGGGTAAGAGGTATATGTATGTAAACATTAATATTTTAATGGCAGCAATAAAATTAATAAAGCTTCTGGGATATACTTCTTCACTTTTACTTGTAATTCATGAAGTTACCTCTATTTTCAGTTTTAATGGGCCGTCTTATCTCAATAGCGGGATTAATAGACTTGTGGCTAGAAGTGCCATAAGAACTGAGTAATGGTGCTTCTTCTGTCTCCAGATGGTGGGATGACCCAGTGTGCAAGATTCCATTTTCATTTAAACCACCAACACTATCCATGTTGTATTCTGAAGATGTAACCCAAAATTTCCACGCCTGCTGCACCACAAACATGTCAACCAAAGTCCCCACCAAACACAAGGCTGCTATAATGATGCAGAGTGCACTAACACAAGAAAACAACAGGACTAGTGAGTTAGTGTAAAAAAGATTCTAGATCTGACACAGATCAATTTTTTAAGGATATTACCAACATATACATTTTGAAATCAATAACATTTGGCTCAAATTAAATTTGAAATACTGATGAATTACTGGTACCTGACACAGGACTTCCATAAAACCAATTTGGTGAAATGAGTCAAAATATCACTCAAAATAAAATATTTATTTTAGTTATTATTACTTGTCAAAAGGCCGAATGCTACGAAAAGGATTGTTCTTGAATGATTGAATGCATCCAAGAAAAAGCAAGCTAATTAAGATTCTCTCCCATTTAGATGACAAATTTTGAAATTAAACTTACTGGCTATCACTTTAACTCTCCTTGACTATTGCTTTGAGATGAACAGGAAGCAAAATTTATCTTTGACAACAAGTAGTTGAATGCACAGAACTCACAGTGTTATTATGGCTCCATTAGTCCACTTGGATTTATGTGCACAGAATACGCCACTTAGGGTGATGTTCCCCCCAAGGTAAGGTAGATCTGGCATTACAACTAGAACACAAAAAAGAATAGTATATAAGAAATGATACAATTATCATAAGTAATAATCTGGCTCAGAGGTGTGCCAGGCTCAATACTCTGATGTAATGTTAAATGTGAGTTCAATGTGTTTCTGGTTCCAATTTTCCTTGATTGTACATCACATCTACTATAACTTCCTAGACTTGCTCTCTCGTTTAATGAGGAATTGCTGCCATTGATATGCTTTTCCAACACAGGTCTGAGCTGTTCAAAAAGAAGTTTTACAAAAGATTATTTTGCCAAGTGCAATGCAAATAAAAGCAGATTTGTGAAAAATCACTAGCAATATATATATTTTTTTTTCTGGGGGAGGGGGGGGCTACAGCCCCCCTGACCTCCCTGTTGTGCAACCTATGACAGTGACCATACTGTACTTTTACCATTAGCTTAGGAACACCTTAAGTTTAATTTCTATGGTAAAAGTTGATGACTAGGTTAAAAAAGCTCTCTTTGAGGTATGGTTTTACTTTCTGGAATAGGAAGTGAGAGCTCTTTCTGCAGTTTTCAACCATAACAGCAACAGCCAAAGTTAAAGTTGTCTGTTTTTATAATTAACAATTATCCACCGAAGGCGAGGTGAATATTGTCGAATAATCCCCGAGACAAAGTCCAGGGGATAATTCAAAAATATTCACTGAACCTGAGGTGAATAATTGTTTTATAGTATAATTTCAGAGCTGAACAACAGAGAAATTTCTAAATCATAACATTTGAGTAACATTTGTTAACAGTTTATTTTAACAATTTATATAAACTGCGTGGAGCGGTTTATATAGCATCACATAAGGAACCGCTCTACCAATCAGATTCCACTGTTAGGATATAGAACTAACCTTTAGCAATAGTACCAATCCCAATGGCAATGTCCTCCTCAGTACAGGCAGATGGAACACAAAGACCCCACGAGATATACTTTTCAAATAGAAACAGATTATCATCATATACTGCAGCCAGTAAACACAATATAAACTTCTTCATGAAGATACTCAGGCCTTGACACTAACTTTTAAACTTACTAGCCTTGTGGCTAGTGACATCTAAGAAGATGTTTAATGACAAATTCAGTTTGTTTACTAACCAAACTGGCTAGCGGAAATCAAAAACCACTAGCCCAAACTGAATTTCTACTAATCTGTGGCTTAAGTTGGCAACTGTTAGTGTTGAGCCCTGGTACTACAGACTTTGCTGAACAAGGAATTGAGCTTGAATTGCAGGTGTAGGTGGAATTTGTGCTTTACTTCATTTTCTCCAAGAGATTCTTCACCCTATTCACATTGTTACTCTTGAGATGGTTTTGTTACATATAACATTGATGCTCTTTTAATGGCCTCCTTGGATACAGAAGACAGAAGCCATTGAAGACAGAGGGCATTCTTGGAAGGCAAGAGTGTCCTTTCAGATGGGAAAATTGAGAGGTAATAAGAAAATTCAGATTCATTGGGTAGAACTTGTTGTTGTGAACTAACTACTTTTATTATAAGAAAATATGTGGCAGCAAGAGGGGAGAATTAACAATCAGATCTTGGGAGTTTTCAGGGTTAGTGGGCCTAAACTACCATCAGAACAGACTTTCTCCACCTTACATGTAATCCTGCTATACATAACAGGAAGTAGCTAGTAAGAGAACTGATATTTGTAATCAGTTCATTACTTATTGCACAAACAAAATGTCCATATACCGGAAGTTTTGTAATATTTCCCTCAATGTTTATTGTGAATGTGACACCTGGGGCCAGGCAGTACTGTGCATCAGGAATAGTTTTGCATGTTTCATAAGACCCAAGCCATACCAGGTTACCCAGGGTAAGACCACTGTTTGGTCTCCCTGTTGCATCAATATCTGACAATGAAGAACACACATCAGGCAATTACTGCACACATTAGACTTACTAAGAAAACTCTGATTCGTCAAAAGCATACAGTTACATTCAATAGTGTGTGAAGTAGACATGATGATCTAATATCTGCAACAGCTGATTGTTTCCAAGCCCCTAGTTCATGTAGTGTTCTCAAACTTTTACGAACTCAGAAAGAAGTGTCTTCTTTTCCATATTTACAATAAATTTAGTTTTCCCATGATGTCATGAATTATCACCTCAGCATTTGGCTTCAGCTGAAAACTAAGACCTCAGCATTGATAACTAATGATATCATGCTCACCCTCATCCAGCAATTGCTTATTATAACCCTCCCAGTAATTTTTTCATGTACTACTGCAATAAACTAGCTGTGTTTATTCTGATATTTGTCCCTGTATGGATTATTTCCACTGAAAAGAAACAAAGCAAGTGGAAAAATACCAGTGTAAGAGTGTCACCTTTCTGTCTCTAATACTCTACAGTTATGGAAGTAAAAATGAGCTTGTTTTGTGGAGTTCAGTGATGGTGAGATAAAAAAGCTGATCCAAAATGCGGTTTTGGAAGGTACAAAAAAGTCAGCAAACTTTGCTGTCAATGTGTGATACCAAAATTAGTGGAAGGGTTATAAAATAAATAAAACCCCTTCTGGCCTGCAGAAATGTTGCTGGATAATGTCCTTGGCTGAGAGATTGTCTCCAAAATTTCACATTTACATTGTTTTGGACAATCTCTCAGCTATGGACATGCCAGTCATCTGAAGGGGTTGAATTACTAATTATCAGAATTGATCTTTATGTTACCAAGTTTCTTGGAAATATTAACTTACAAACAAAATATGCTGGGGTACTTATTCTGGACTTAAAGCTAAGGGCGTAACAGCTCTCTCACTCCCAGGAGCGACCAAAGGGGAATTTCTCCATATAGTTGCAATACATTTTCAAGCAGAAAGACAACGAGAAGAAAGTAAACTATCAACTACTGTAGGAGGTTATAGTTCACCACTAAATTTTCTCCGGTTCTTATTGGTTTAAATCGATCACGTGATGCGATAGTGTTCATCCGTGGAGAGACACTATCAGCCCATAGTGCTCGCCTGCGGAAAATACCCGGAGTGATAGTGCCCATCTGTGGAAAATACCTGGATTGATAGTACTCATCCATGAAAAGTTTTAAATAGTTTGATGGCCACAAAGTTAGGTAGATTGGAAAAACAGTGACTTTTCAATTCTGACAGGTATAAGTATTATTTAGCCAATGTATGATTGCGAATTATTGACATTAATGTGACAAGCTGTAGACGCGAAAGAAAATTTAGTGGTGAACAATAAAAACAATAGAGTGTTTATGTATCGGAACTATCGCTCTGATAGTTGCCCCTTCGAAATTTGATGTTCTTAAAACTAGCATATTTGCCTTCGAAGCTTCGCTTCTCGGGCAAATAAAAATTATTTGTTTTAAGAACATCAAATTTCCGTGGGGCAACTATCAGCCGATAGTTCCTCGACAGAAACACTCTATTGTTTAAATAGTGTTGATTAGACACCTGACATTCTTTGATTTGGAATCACAAGAAGTGTATGGCAATTGGTGTGGAGAATTTCTCATAACTAACGATCAAACTGAATAAACCACGACCATATGCCAGCACCAAGATGCTGATCACTGTGCTGTGTTTTCGGTCCCTAACATAATTAGTTAACAGATGGCGGGGTTCGGATGAGATGATTTTTTTCGCCGGCAGTTTCGAAAAGTCCTCAAAGACTCCAAAGTGTGTCAGAAAAACGCTATAAAGCTCAAACAACACTTTAAAACGATACCAAAGAGTTTCCTAAAATTGAGTTACGAAATAAAATCATTATAATTTTAATTTCTAGCTACGCATAAAAGCACTCTTTGAAATACGTTTGCAAGTATTTTAGATTTATTTTGGGAAAATAAATTTCAACTTTCTATACGAATATGACCTTCCCAATAGTTGTAGATTTCTCACTTACATTTTCCAATTAACCCTGAAGAGCGGAGATTTCTAACGGCTTTCTGACATGTAGCAGAGATTTTTGGAGGTATGGCGGCGTCCGCGCCAGCATTTAGCGAAGATGAATAATACTTCGTCTTCGAATACAATCCGCTTAGTTCACGAACAGTGCTCGCTCGCAAAGAGCTCGTGAAACCAATTTGTAAAAGGAGACAGAGTCCAAGAAGGAAAGCTGGAACCATTGTCGTTCCTTTAATCAGCTGAAATGTACTGATTTGGTAGTGCCACAGAACTTTAAATTACCCATGCCCAAGTTTACTTTCTTGTAGGGTAGGGTAAGTTGGCATATTTGGGCAATGCCTTTGATTCTGTGTTGAATCCAAAGGGATGTCTAGTTATTACAAAAAGACAGATTAATTTTAAAAATGCTTACGTGAATGTAAAATATAATTGATTTTTTCAAGAAAATGTCTGCTAAAAGTGAGTATGATTGGGTTGTCTCTCCCACCCCTCCCTTAAAGACTAGTGCTCGTAGTGGTACTCAGTCTTTTTCCGGTGAAGGAAATGACTAAGCGTCTGCTTACTCGATTTTGCGTAATACATTAGAAAATACACACAATATATATATAGTACGACGTCTGATATCATTTTAAAAATTGCCCGTGGAATGGGGGTGGTGAAATTTAAATGAATCAGTCATGCCATCAATTCCCATTTTGGTGTTTAAAATTCAAGAACCTGACATTGAAATTATTTGTTGAGGTTTGCTCTCTGTTGTTAAGCTTTCTTAACCGTTTAACCATGAGTAGGAACATAACTGTAATTAGCGTCGAATAGGGCCATTGACCTGCACTGGCCTCTGTCCGCCTCTACTGTTTTTGAATCGATTTATTTCATACGGAATAAATTTATTTTCTCGAATCATGTTTGATGATGTTTTAACTTTTCTAAATGCGGCGTCTTCGGATTATGCTGTGGTGAATTTCTCCCTAAGATAGCTACTTTGAAAGCTTTTCTTGGTGACGATTTGAATTAAAACACTATTGGATCAAATTTTATTCATACAGTATGTCAGTCGAAAGGATAATCTAGGGCTGTAAAAAATCCTGACCTCCCCGCAGCCAGCCCACCCCCTAAGGTCTCTAAAACTGGTGGAAAACCTACAGTACAAAGTAGTACAACCACAGAACCACGCTCTAGATGAAGAAAATTCATCACTCCTTGTATTGAAATACTTTGTAAAACTCGACGCGCCAACGGCACTACAGAGTTCATTAATACATCAATACATGCAAACAGCTTGCTTTCGACCCAGTTGGGTTTCGAAAGCATGATGTAACTGCAAGAAAAATGTAACAGGAGGAAAGGCCAAGAAAGAGGGTAACTAACAAGAAAGCTTTTTGTATGTTCACAACAGGTTTGAAATTACGATATATTATACACACCGATTGCAAGAAAAATAACAAAAAGCACAATGAAGTATCATTACTTTCTGATTTTATGTAGAAATGCACAACGATGCGATAAAGTCGGAATTTTACAGTGTCTCAGTAAAACGTACACTCAGTTGAAAATAGCAATTACATTTCTGGAAGAGTCGACAAGCGATTGATTGATAGCTTTCTCAATCTTGCACAGTCATAGAAAACAGATGAGCCATGTTATTTTTGGCTATGTCAGAAGATGTCATGCGTTAAATTATTATTGTTCTTCAGGAAATTCTGCGTTTCGATCAATCAATCAATTTTTGTATCCGTGACTTCCACCTTAATTTGTAAAGGTAATCACACGATTTCGAGTGCAATTTGGAATAAATAAGCACGAGTAAATTTTTTCAAAGACTAACAAAATTGGCCGTAGGGCGAGTGCAATTTGTGGTCTTTGAAAAAATTTACAAGTGCTTATTTATTCCAAATTGCACGAGAAAATCATGTGATTACCTATTAATAATATACATGAAAAAATACGAGGTAGCTTTTATAACCATGCAGAAGAAAAGCGTGTGCATCACGTGCAAAAATAATTGATTCAAACCCTGAAAGTGACATTGACCTTGACATTGACGTTGATCAATCATTCTGACCAATCAGAATGTCTGGTTTGTTACTTTCTTTGCGCTGAATTAACCCTTTTCTGCACTGAATTACCTGAAAACTGTATTTATCTTAACTAATCAGAACTGAGCAATTTTTTCATGTATATTATTAGCAAGTAAACAGGAACAAAATCATCCATGGTGCAACGTGAGAGGAGTCCCAAGAAAGCTTTGCTTGTGATGCGGACCCACAAGGAGATCTAAGACAAACTTTCAAGGATGGCATGGCTTAACGTTAACGAGGGGGGCATCAGGGTCTATTAGAAACCGCAAAACCGCGAAAAAACTCGATCAAAACCGAAAACTGCACGCAAAACCATCTAAACCGATAAATTTGCGCATCTCAGTTGTCAAAATCCTAATCGATCTGATATCATGGTTACAAGTGGAGCAACATATATAAGTTTCGCGGCTATTTGAGATCAGCAGAGGTGTATAGCTGCTGCTCAGATCGAAGACCGGAACCTTAATCTGAAAAATCTGAAAAAACCGAAAAAGCACATGCATCGGATACCAAATCCGAGTACTCGTCAAAAATTTTGATGAAAACCGAAAAACAAATGTTGAAAACGGAAAATCCACAAAACGCAATGAACAACAAAACCGAAAAACCGACGTTTTTTGGCGCAAAAACCGAAAAACCGAACTAAAAAATAGCCAAAACCGCAAATCCCAATGCCCTCCTCGTTAACGTTCCTTAACAATATGAAACTTTTTGCTAAACACGGAACGCGTAATCAAGATTAAATTATTTCGTAACAATTCAAAACAACCGCTGCGATAAAAGACCTGTGCCATCGGAAGAAAGAAGAAAATGAATTTTATAAATAACGATATAAGGGATTCGACATTTGATAAATTATTTAGATTCAGAGCTCAGGCTGCTCTACAGCTTAACTTCTTTCCCTAATAGGATATTGTATCTTGTTTTGACATCAAATACTTGGAAGGAATTGAACATGAAGACGATCAGACCATTATACATCGAGGACGTGGGTGATGAATGTGAGTGTTCTAACTGAAAGTTGTTCAAATATCCACCAACAGAAAAAAAAAAATGAAGAAAGCGTTGATTTTCGGAATCAGATAATGGAGAACGGAATCAACCAGGATTTCAATTCCCTTATCTTTTCTTTGAAAAAAAAAAAAACTGTCAACGACGCCAACTCGTTTGCAGGTGAAAAGAAGTACCCGATATACCCATTTCTTGTACTCATAAGGGTGAGTCATTTACTGCGCATGTGTGGTGTATACATGTTTCATGAAGTGTTATCCCAATTTACAACACTGATTTGGCGGAACTGTAAAAATATAAGATGAAAAGAGACGAATCGATAAAACAGGGACGTGGATGGTTAAGGATGCCAGGTTCGCGCTAGCGATTTTATAAAAATAATTACAAGTTTTCAAGCTTAATTATAAGCTCTGAGTTTTGTAGACGTTTCAATTTACCCACCGGGTACTTTGAAAGGTTTACCTGTCGCCGCTGGATATATGCCTAGATTTTAGAAGTCTCTAAGCTATCAGTATTTCTTGTTTAATAACATTGCTAAAGAATGACAATAGCATAGAAGCCGCTGTCAGTCAGAGCTTCACGGTTTGCAGTCATTTTTAATGCTAAAATTTTAAAATCAACTTTTTCCGATATTTAAGATTTTAAGGGGTACCGTGCAATCATTACCTTCTAAGTATTCATAGATGTATTGAAAGGCATGCCGTGGATTCAGTCTTACGTCTGAGTGTTCGTCAAACGTCTAAATCAGCACGACTAAAGGACAGTTACGTTCCTATAATCCTTTTGGATTATCCTTTTGGATATTATCTCAAAGGAAAAGGACAGAATTATTACTGACAAAAAGGAAATTGCCGAATTATTTAACGAACACTTTGTACACATCGCTGATAATGTACCTTTGAGAGAGGAAGAGGATTATGGCAATGATTTTGCTAATCATCTGAGTATCAAAGTAATCTTTGAAAACAGGGGCAAAGACGAACCTGCTTGCTTCAGTTTTCATCCCACAAGCAAATCTCAGGTTGAAAGCATATTGAAAGAGATCATTGTTCGTATATCGCCTGGTCACGATATGATCCCACCACGGCTGGTCAAACACGCTGCATCTGTTATTGCTGAGCCTCTCACAAACATTTTTAATCATTCCATTGAAAACTGCTCTTATCCTGAAAATTGGAAGATGGACACTGTGACTCCCTTGTTCAAAAAAGACGACGAGTTTTGTAAGGTTAACTATAGGCCTGTAACTGTGCTCCCCGTTCTGAACAATATTTTTGAAAAGCTTCTAGCAGAGCAGGATGCATGAATTTTATCTCGAAATGCTTTCAGATTTCATTAGCGCTTACAGGAAGCTTCATAGTTGTGAGACTACATTGCTAAGGCTGACGGAAGATCGGAGGATGATGCGCAACAGAGGTGAGCTCGTCGCGGTGGTCTCTATGGACCTCTCCAAAGCGTTTGACGTTATTCAGTATCCACTCCTTCTTTCCAAGCTCAAGGCCTACGGTATGGATGACAAGAGTGGCGCTCTACTCAGGACTATCTCTCTGGTAGATCTCAGAGAGTCAAGATAGGGGGCACCTTCTCCGCCTGGAAAAGCGTTGAACAGTGGGGTCCCGCAGGGGAGTGTGTTAAGTCCAATGCTATTCAACTTCTTTATCAACGATCTCTTGTTTTACGTCAAGGGCGCCAGGCTGAACGCTTACGCCGATGATCATCAGATATACTATTCCCACGTCGACCCAGCGACAGTAGACGCATGCATATCTCACAATGTCAAGTTAGCCAATCATTGGTAACAGGAAAATGGGATGTTATTCAACGAGAGCAAGCATCAGGGTCTCGTTCTTGGCGAAACGGACTATAGTTTTTCCTTCCCTGTAAAGGACACATTAGAGATATTCGGACTGGAAATAGATGATAAGCTCGATTTCTCTAGTCACATATCCAACATATGTAAAAAGATCAATAATCAATTCATTGTTATGTTACGCTTTCGAAAACTGATATTGACAGACACCTTACTTACGCCTTACAAAGCTTACATTTTACTGCATTTTAATTATTGTTCCTCAGTTTGGCACCTTTGTGGGGCGCGGAATACGGATAAACTAGAGGCGCTGAATAAGAGCAGAATACTTAGATTTACACTTAGGGATTACTTGTCGCCATATGATAGCCTTCTGATTAAGGTCAACACTAGTTCCTTATGTAATGGGCGTATCCAGAATTTCCTTATTTTATTGTACAAGAGCCTGTTTTTTCACTCATTTTCCAGCTTATATGAGAGGTATGTTTTCACTTCGGTCCTCTTCTTATAATCTTCGCGGTAATTACATACTGTCACCTAGAAAACCTAGAACAACTAGTTATGGCCTTAATTCATTTTCATACTTCTCAGCTAAGCTATGGAATACACTGCCTGACTATATCCGCATGAGTGCATTTAAAGACTTTAGAAAGATAATCCAAGGCCGTATCTTTTTATAGTCGCTCCCGCTTATCTTCACTTTTCTGTTAATTTCTACTGATATGTTACATCACTTATCTTCACTTTTCTGTTAATTTCTACTGATATGTTATATAATTATATTTCTAAATACTGTGTATTTTTAGTACATTTTAGTATAGTTAGTATTTTAGATCTTGTATATATATATATATATATAACTGCAGACAGTACTGTTTCGGCCTTCTGGGCCTCATATATATATATATATATATGTATGAATATATCCATATATATCCATTTTATGTTTTCTCGAAGATATTAGCTCCAACAAGCTACTCTAAAATTCGAGGTGAAATAAAGTTTATGATGATGATGATGCTCTAATACAATAGATGTCGCGGGATCTCGATATATATATATTTTTTAGATTACAAAGTTAAAATTATCAGTTCATCTACGGGAACTTATATATATATATATGTATGAATATATCCATATATATCCATTTTATGTTTTCTCGAAGATATTAGCTCCAACAAGCTACTCTAAAATTCGAGATGAAATAAAATTTATGATGATGACGATGCTCTAATACAATAGATGTCGCGGGATCTCGATATATATATATTTTTTATATATTTTTTAGATTTCAAAGTTAAAATTATCAGTTCATCTATGGGAACTTATGTGGACGTTCTTCCTAAAGCGTGGATCAGTTCGGCTCCGGATAGCGCCACGCACTTTAACAGGCCTGCAATTTTTTGGGTTGAGAAAAAAAAAAGAGAAACGGACAATGTATAAATGACCAGCTTTTGAAAGTGAATGCTGAAGATCTTAGATTTGGTTCAACTTTTACCACATGTTCTTCATGCCATGTGTCAATTTTATCCTAAGAGCGTACAGCTAATAAAAGAACAGGAAACAGTGGAAATTCACCACAAGTTAACTCTAGCAAAAGGTAAACCTATATTTCTTTTAGGAGCGTAGCCCGTTGACACGTTACAGGTTGTTTTGGATGTTCTTAAAAGGCTTTAATGTTTTCCACGACAATGGTGTTATGGACACCTGGCGGTTAAAAGGTTTATGGGGGTTAGTCGACGAAGTTTATGTACTGGCTAGATCGTCGTCACCGTTCTGAGCAGCTGAAAGATCCAAGCGTGTCATCTGTTTTCAAAAACAAAACCGTATAAAAAATAATTTAAAAATAACTCCGTCCTTTGGTGTAAGATACGTAGTGTGCTATAAAATGTGACAAAGAAAGAAAGTTTTTAAACAAAGGTATGCAAAATTAATGAGCTTTGTTGTTACAGCTAAAAGGTAATTGCAGAAACACATCTTTAATTTTTAATATTTTCCATTGTTCAAATGGATCGACTTTTTGTTAAGAGCAAAAATGTTATTTACAGATGATTAATGGCTGACACTGTTAACGACACTGCGGGGCCCTTTTGTTTTTCGTCCAAAGTGCAGGGGAGTTCTAAGGTTGTTGGAAGTTTGAACTAATCCAGTGGAGACTGCAACGTTAAGGAATCACGAAGTGCGCTCAAAAAATGAATCAAAGGGAAATTGCTCCCTGGTCAACAAGTGTACCAGGAGAGGAAAAAAAGGTATCCTACCCGGCACAAATGAAGAAGGAAAAGCCCGGAAAGGGAAACTCCTGCCGTTTGTCCTACGTCGAGGTTATTGCCAATGCTATTCTCAGATCACCAAGAAGACAGAAAACCTTGTCCGAGATCTACAGCTTCATTCAACACAACTATCCCGAATTTACTGAAAACAGAGTGCGATGGAAGAACACAGTCCGCCATAATCTGTCGCTTCAGGAATGTTTTCAGCGAGGTGAGGTTGCCTATAACAAGGGTGGTTGCTACTGGCGGATTCATCCCAAATTCTTGCCCAGGTTTAGTCAAGGAGATTTTACAAGACGCCCTCCAGCTCCGACTCCGCGGTTTGAAATGCAAAGGAGACATCCGTACTTCGAAGATGATAATTTCTCAACACCCAGTCAAGTCTTCCATTGCCACTTTTGTGAGCCATCTCCCTCACTTTTATCGTATGGCGAAGGGATGTTTCATGGCACTCGGGCAATAAACGGATGCGCTCCGTACAGGCAGCATCCCTTTTTTTCTTGGGACCATTGTATGTATTAAGAATCTATGGACCTCCATACTTGAATGGCAACAAACAAACTCGTAAGCGTGTATAAAAAAAACGTGTTAGCAGACATTAAACAAACTAAGAATGTTAAATAGACTTCAAATAGTTTTATTTTCAAGCTTAATAATCGCAGGTGCGCGTAAGTGGGTTTTCGAAGGTACTTTATTAAATCTGTAAAAGCACATTTTTAAATTAAACGAAACTTTACCGATACTGTATGTGTTCGCATTATGTTTAACAAACGGAACATCGATCTCTTTGAAGTGTCATGCGTTTCACTAGCTGCGCCTCAAGTTTGAAGATCTGTTCTCACACACAACTGGGAGCCATGCCAAGCCGACCATGCAGCCCGACCTTTATTATATCAACACGATGAACCATTGGGGTTACAACACGAACAAAACAGCCGAAACTAAGCCTAGATACAGAAGACTGACATGCACGAATAACTGGAACTAAGGCACTACTTGAAATCCTATATCCCTAAAAACATATAGAGGGTGGGTGGGGAAGGTCAGGCAATGGCGGAAGGCAACAAAACAACTGAACCTTGAAACGCCATGTGACCTGGAGAGCCCCCACACACTTGAACCCATTCTCCCAGCTGCGTGTGAGAAAAACGTTTTCCACTTCTTTCGTCCCCCAGCCAGCGGAAAACCACACTTCTTTTTCTGTTCAGGTTGTGATTTGTTAAAGATGAAAAAGCCAAAAAGCTAATCTTTGGATGCTACCGCTGATGACTCCCAAAGAAAAAACAATCATCGTTACGGTTGGATACAGCTCACTAAAGATACGCGCTTTGTGATACGTATGCTTATTGTAACGAATATAAACACGAGAAAGACCTTATTAGAGTGGCACTTCATCATTCCCCTACAGGGCTGTGCGACAGTCTCGAGTTGCGATCGATTACTGAAAGACTTTTTTTTAAGTGATGGCAAGAAAGGGAGGACACGAGGCTGAGGGAAACTGCTTGGTCTGACTTGACACACTACTCTAAATGCATGTGATCGTGTTCTTAAGTAAAGTGACTTGCGTGGTTCTGGGCGCCATTTCTTCCATCCTTTTTATGTGCACTGTTTGAAGTTTTGAAGCTCAACAGACTCAAACTATGACAAATGGAATTTTTCTGACACTGCCACTGTTATTTCATAGCTGATTTTTCCGGTTGAGGCAGTTTTACAGGGGACATATAACTGAGCTGAAGCTCTTTCAGTACTTAAATCGCTTATCACGCGGATTTTTTCCTATTTCTGGTAATTAAAAAATGAATAAACAGACAGATGAGATGCTAGACTAGATCAGACTACCTGGTTTCAACTCTTCCCCTTCAAAAACACATATTTGCCGATTAATTTTACCAGATACCTGCCTGTGACTTCAACGAGTCTGCACCTTCTTTTCATTCTAAAAAAATATTAAAGGTTGTGGCATTTCGATCTTAGCCAGCCAAGTCGAGAATATTACAACACAATATGCGAAGAAAATATTAAAAAAAAGAGTGGTAGAACCACACAGCAGACCCGTTGACGAATGCAATCAAGAAAGGGAAAACCGAAAAGACGTCCTCATCTAGATGCTGACTAGAGGAATTTCATCCATTTTCAATGCTTGAACCTCCTTAACAAGTCACCACTTGTTTATTATTACTCACCTGTCAATATTCCAATTCAGCGAGAGCTTGCCTCTCCCCAGGATTGGGAATTTCTCCTTCCCGCGCAGGAGACTGGGAATGACGCTGACACGTCACGTAACATAAATAAAAGTGCGCGTTGAGGGTAGTAGTAGAATATCGAAATCAACCCTGATCTTAGTCGATCATGCAGGTCTAATGTAATGGGGCGCAAAGACACCGAGGGAAGATCGGATGTAGAAAAATTCAGAAAGACAATTGGTGAGGCTTCTTTCTTTGTTTGCGTGATTTTTTTCAATGACTGTCAAGAAGTGAGTTGACCCTCCACATGTTCCTCGTCGATATGGACGATACGGCAGAGCGGTGGTCACTCGAGAGAAGTTTACATTCTATGAGAGCCTTGCGGTAGTCCACTGAACCATATTTATTTCCTCTTAATTTTTAGTTCTCGATTATTTCATGGTCACTTTTGGTATGTGAAAATTGAACGCAAACGTTGGCTCTATTTGTTGTTTCTGCATAAGCTGGCAAGGGCCATTTTGTTTGGAAAATTGATTCCCAGACAGGACCGTCGAACACGGGATTAGGGACCGTTAGAGGCTCCCGTCCAACAAATGCAGAGTTATGATTATTATTTTTTTGGTTGATCTACGTGTTTATATCATTATACCTATTATTTAAAATTTCTTCTCAATTTTGATACATTATTTAGTAAGCAGGTCATGAGAATAATAATAATAATAATAATAATAATGACTCAACTTTTATTTATCCTAATAAGAAACCGGTCAGTCGATCAAGATATAGATCGACTGGTATTAATCGGTGACCAGTTAAAAAGAATGACAAGCAATAAGAATTACAATTACAAATCTAAAATGTATAAATTATAGATAAAAATTACATTTAACTTGTATGAATATGATTTACGCTGTCCATGTTTACGAGGTAAGTGAAAGTTCTACCTTTAAATTGTGTGAGTGTTGTGAGCTCGCGAATCTTTCTTGGCAGTTTGTTCCAGGCACTGGCAGCCGAAAACTTAAACGAGGTCTGTCCACATTTGGTCTTAACTTGTGGTAGATCTAATAATGTTGGATCTCTAAAGGCTCGACAGTGTCTCTGTGATTGTTTCACTGTTTCACTAAGTACCCTGAATGAGTAAATGCTCAAGTTTGACAGAGTCATACACCTTGCCACAGTGTGTATAACACGAAATTACTCTTTATAGGCTCAAATGAACCCTTTCTGCACTGAAAAAGTATAGATGTGCTGACATTTTGGTGTATCATTTGTTCCTCAATGCAAAATATTACCGGTAACCCCCTAGTTTTAATGGCTATTTACATTTTCTGCTTTATAAATGTTGCTTTCTGCTACATATCCTAGTTGCATTAGTCTTAGAATTTACAGGCCTCCAGATTAGATCATACAGTGCTTCTCAGTGTAGTCATTGGAGGTTATGAACTTATGGTAGAACTAACAAACCTTATCAAGAAATTCATCATCTTAGAAGACAGTGTTTAAAGTCTCAAGTAGCACTGTGGGACTGCACTGTCTGCAAATGCTCTTTGGTTTGTTTGTAAATGTATTTGTTTGATTGTTTTTTCATTTAATAGTGAATGAAAGGATGGTCTTGTTGACGATAATTTGTAGTTTATTTTAGTGGTAGGTCGAATTTTACAGAAACTAGCTGTCTTTAATTACCAATAGTTGGTATTTTCAATACAGTCATTTGTCTCTTTTTTATTTTGCAAGTTTTTAACATTAATTTTCTGTCATTTTTAAACCAGGAAAACAGGAGTTTAAAGGTCGCAGCAAGAAGAAGACCCTATCAATTCGTGACAAAGCTCAGAATAGGAATTCCAGAGGAACTATTCAGGTGAATATACACTCTCCCTTGGGTTGTGTTTATGAATTAAAGAAACTTTAAAATAATGAAAAACTGTATACAGCGTACTGAAGTCACTTGTCAGAAAACTGCTTACCCTGGCATAAAGAAGCTTAAGGGGTTGCTTAATAGGCTGCCTGTAAGACCTCATACCACCGTCTGTTTAGGCTGCAAGCAGGCTCTTGTGTTTGGGTTAACAGCTCCTTACAGGGCACAGCCACCTATTAAGCCATTGGTAGCTACTTATGGGACAAGTAATTGAAACCCCTGCTAACTCTGTATACATAATTTGCTGCTGGCATTGACACTTTTGTACTCGTGGGAGACAAAAATATTGTCCCAAACCACTATACATACTCACAACTTTGCCTTGATTCAGTGTTGATTAATGGTGATTTAGACTTTTTCCCCCCTTTTTACGACCATATATTTTTATCTTCATATTTTTAAAAACATCATTGTTATTATCTCTTATTATCACCTGTCTATATAATCAGCTTTCTTTGTTTCATGATTTTTATTTTTGACTTGATAATGATGTTATGCTAACAGTGAAACACTGTCCTTATTAAAATGTTTTTTAACTATAATTTTTTATCTCTGAGTTTCCTGGTTAAATGATAATCCTGTAGTCACAATGATGGTAACAAATTGATAATTGCACTTAACCGCCTCCCGGTTAGCTCAATTGGTTAAGCGCCAGACTGTTGTGCGGGAGGTCAAGGGTTCGAGCCCTGGCCGGACCAACACTCAGGGTCTTAAAATAATTGAGAAGAATGTACCTTTCTATAACATCAATGAAAAAATGGTTAGATATTCTAGTCTTCTGGGATAGGGATGAATAAATGGAGGCTCCGTCTCCTGCATCTATTAATTAGTTAATTTGGTTAGGCAGGGGACGTTAAAGAACCCACTTCACGAGATTACTGTGATGTGGTATGGCCTGGTTACCGGGAATTGGGGGAGAGGGGGCATCTGTTGTTTGCCTTGAATTGATTGTATTACTGCTTAGCAGTATGGTAAAGTCCCCCGTATAGTGTTGTAGAGTGCCATGAGTTTAAAATATGAGTGCTATATAAATACAAGCTATTATTATTATTATTATTATTATTATTATTATTACTTAATTTGAGTAGAGTTGCATTATGTAGTTGCATTATGATTTTTTCATGTCAATAACATCGACTCTTAATTTTTTTAGAAATCCTATTTTAGTTATTTACTTCAGTGGAAGAGATAATATTGAAATATTAATCAATTGATGTACTCTTGATGCATGATTTTATCTCACTGGGTGCTCAGAGGTGAACAGGGTAGTACACTTGCCATTCACTTTTGAACTAACCAATCAACATCTGCAAAAAAGACTATTCACTGGCGTGGTAGATATGAACCATCAATATTGTTAATATTACCATCTTCCTTCAGATGTTTTTGTTGTTCCTTTCTTTGTTATAATACAAAACTTTTTGACAATAATTAACCATAGATGGAGTGCTTTGACGTAGAAGGTTCCCCCTAATACTTTCATGCTAGGCTTTAAGGAATTTGTCTGGTGATTAGTTACTGACTTTGAGCCAAATGGTGAGAGTTCACCACACGTACAGTATTCCTAATAAGGACCCTCTGTTATTAAAGATCCTCTCCTTGCTAAAT